ATTAAAAAAACAGGAAAGTTCATGGTGGATGTCAGAAGAGATGATGAAATTTGCTCGTAATCAGTAGCTAAGGATGGAAGAGATGATGGAGTCAAAGAGCTGAATTTTCAAAGTGCAGCTTGAGAAGACAAAGTAAAATCATATTAAAATGTGCAAAGGCAAAGAGTTAGAAAACCAAAATGGAAGAACATATTCAGCATATCTTAAACAAAGAAAAAATTCAAGCCTTGAGTTGCAATATTGAGAGATTTTATTGGTAAAATATTGAATGATGCAGGAAACATCAAAAGAAGATAGAAAGAATACAAAGGCAGTATACCAAAAAGAATTAGTTGCAATTCAGTCATTTCAAGTAGCATATGAACAAGAACCATGACACAGAAAGAAGACCAAGCTGCACTGAAGGCATTAGTCAAAAAGAAGGTTCCAGGAAATGATGAAATAATAATTAAAATGTTTCAGCAGGCTGACAAAGCACTGGAAGCACTCACTCATCTATACCAAGAAATTTGGAAGACAGCTACTTGGCCAATGGACTAGAAGAGATCCACATTTGTACCCATTCCAAAGAAAGGTAACCTGACACAATGTGCAAATTATTTAACAGTATCATTGATATCACATGCAAGTACAATTCTGCTGATCATATCCCAACAACTGTTACAGCAGTACAATGGCAGGGAGCTTCCAAAGGTTCAGGTTGGATTCAGAAGAGGAAGTGAACAAGGGATACCATTTCTGATGTCAGATGGATCTTGGCTGAAAGCAGAGGATACTAGAAAGATATTTACTTCTGGGAGGGTGGAGGGAGGGTGGGTTGGAAAGGGGGAACTGATTACAAGGATCTACATGTGACCTCCTCCCTGGGGGACAGACAACAGAAAAGTGGGTGAAGGGAGACGTCGGACAGTACAAGATATGACAAAATAATAATTTATAAATTATCAAGGGTTCATGAGGGAGGGGGGAGCAGGGAAGGAGGGGAAAAAATGAGGAACTGATGCCAGGGGTTTAGGTGGAGAACAAATGTTTTGAGAATGATGAGGGCAATGGATGTACAAATGTGCTTTACACAATTGATGTGTGTATGGATTGTGATAAGAGTTGTATGAGCCCCTAATAAAACAATTAAAAAAAGATAATTGTGTTTCACTGACTATACAAAGGCATTTGACTGTGTGGTTCAAAACAAAGTACGGATAACATTTAGAAGCATGGGAATTCCAGACTACTTCACTGTGTTCATGCGGATTCAAACTACTTCACAATGCATGATACATGCACTGTGTTCACGTATCATTAAGATGACCTGCTTTCAAAATTTCTGTTGTGTTGCAGCACTATAGAACCACGACACTGGGTTATCCTTGGAATCAAGTTATTGTTATCCTATTCATTCTCTTATGAGCTCATCTAATGTCATCAGAATGAAAATAACTTTGACTTCAATGCTTATAAAAAACAAAACCAAAAAACCTCAAAAAGCAAACACACTGCTACTGAATCAATTCTGACTCAAAGTGACCCTGTAGGGCAGAGTAGAACTGCTCCCAAGGATTTCTGAAGTTGCGAATCTTTCCAGGAGCAAAAATCTTCATCTTTCTCCTAAGGAGTGAACTGCTGACCTAGTGGTTAGCAACCCAACTTGTATTCCACTACACCATCAAGGATTCTCTGTATGACTATCAACTCCAAACTCATTGCCATAGGGTCAGTGCTGACTCAGAGCTACCCCATGTGGGTTTCTGAGACTTTACCTGTTTAAGGGAGTGAAAGCCCAGTCTTTCTCCCGCTGAGCTGTTGGTGGTTTCAAACTGCCAACCATGTGGATTGCAGCCCAATGCATAACCACTATGCCACCAGGGCTCCTCTCTGCCTACAGTTGCTATAAAAATGGAAACTTGACTTAGTTTGACCTAATGGAGTATTTCATCATAATTCATAGAAAATCAAAAAATCAAATTCACTGTCAGGTCGATTCCAACTCATAGCAAGCCTATAAGACAGGGAAGAACTTCCTCTGAGAATTTCCAAGACTATAATTCTTTACGGGAGTAGAAAGCCTCCTCTTTCCCATGGAGCAGCTGGTGGTTTCAAACTGGTGATCTTGTGGTTACCAGCCCAGTGAATAACCACTATACCTGACAGAAATACTTATCTAGGACTCAGGTGTCTCTCTCTCTCTCTCTCACACACACACACACACACACACACACACACACAAAGCATTTCCTATAAGATTTGGGCTGGGTTTCATTCCACTAAAAAGAACCCGCCGTCACCGAGTCTATTCTGGCTCGGCAACACTGTAAGACAGAGTAGGACTGCTCCACAGGGTTTCTGAGGCTGGAAGTCTTTACCGAAATAGGCTACCTGAAGGTTCTCTCCAAAGTGCCTGTTGGGTTTGAACCTCCAACCTTCAGACTAGCAGCTCAATGATGGATGTAGGGCACTACAAGAGCTTTCCTGAATTGCTATGAGATGGAATCAAGAGCAATGGGTGATTATACTCTGGTATAAAATCCCCAAACATACTACCATAGAGCTGATTTCAACTCATAGCAACACTACATGGGGTTTCTGAGGCTGTAGATCTTTTACGAGGAGCGAACAGCACAAGCTTTCTCCTGCAGAAGGGTTGGTGGATTTGATGGTGAGCATCGAATGCTTACTTGACACAACCACTAGGGCTTCTAGCATAAATTCTATTTTTATTTACTGCTCTCTTGACAACCTTTCTCAGCCAAGAATCTATTTGCCTTATTAATCCTTTTTGAGGGGAAAATACATTTTCAAGTCGACCATTATATATATATAATGATTTCAGATCTAACCATGTTGTGTGTATCAAAAGTTCTTTCCTGTTCATTCCTGTTGAGTGGCATTCCTACCAATACATTTGATTATCATATGGAACAACCTATGTGTGTTCTTGGCAGACTATTGTGATAAGCAACAGAAGCTCATCAAAGCCAGTCTAGTGATCCCAGTCTTTGTTCTTACTTGATCATTTATCAGCTTTGTCTGAGCAAGTCACTTACCTGTTTTAAATACCTTCTGTAGGAAGCAGGGATGTACCTTCTACTACATAACTCACCTTTATAAATTAGATGATCTCTTAAGGACTCTCTGACTTCTGAGAAGGGTGCTTTCATCCAGATCGATATAGCTTTAGGAATGCAACTACTCCCAATTGTTTATATACTGTCTGTGGAACTACAATAATAAAGCTGAGTACTTGAAACAGAGATTGCCTGAGCCTCCATCTCGAAACATTTAGCCTTTTAGGAAAAGTTTACTTTTGTTTTAGATGATGATAACATTTTCTTTTTTTTTTTTTTTGATAACATTTTCTTAAAAGTCAGGAAATCTGTAATGATATTTAGGTTTCCTTATTACCCAAAATAATTCTGCTAAAACTTCCTCACTCCTTTTGGCTAACAAGACCAAAGGAAAAACCATACGGTGTTAAACAATTCCTGCAGTAAAACTCATTAATTCATATGATCTGTAAGTTATTAAAATGAAAAGACACAGTCAAAACCCCAGAGTATAAAAAATATTGGGAAAATATTAAATATTAAAATAGGTTAAAAGAAAATACTAAAGTAGCTTGCTAGAAAAGCCTTGAACTAAATATGTACACTTTTCATATTCTTTCCAAACCCCTTTCTAATCTGTCAACGTTTTGAAATTTAGGAATAGCAGGAGGTAGGCTATATACCACAAAAGTTAGAAGAATGACTTTAAGGTCAAACAAAATGATTGATTTGTAAGTGCAATTAATAAGGAGTCTGTTGGTGCTGTCAGTTAAGCATTAGACTACTAACCTAAGTCAGCAGTTCAAACCCATCATCTCCATGGAAGAAAGGTTAGGCTGTCTGCTCCTTTAAAAATTTAGAAAGTCCCAGAAACCGTGCCAGAATCAAATGGCAGTGTTGCTGTTTTTTAATGCAATTAGCACTATTTTGCAATAACTTAATAAAAGGTGCTTGAAATGTATTTTGAAAAAATCATTTTCAAAGACAAATTGCCTTTTAAATTATAAATGCTAAGAAACTAAAGAAGAGAATATTTCGGGGGGACTGCTAAGTAAAAGTACTTTCATCACAATAAGAAATAAAATTTTATATTAAGATATATCTATATACTCAAGTATAAACCAACCCGAAATTTTCAAAATAAAAATTTTTTAATTTTAGCTTGAAAATTTGGGGTTGGTTTACACTCGAGTATATATGGTAATAAAGTCCTCATCTGATTATCTTAAATTAAATCTGATTAGTTAATTCAGTGATGTGGGTTCTCTCTTACTAAAGAGTTTTCCCTCTAAAATATATAAACCAGGTCTGATCTGGCAGTCATCTTGGAAACACACTGATGTCAAGAAAAAACATGCAAACCCTAAAATGAGTTGTTAGCTGCTGTCCTGACAATGGAAACTACAAGGAAAAGCAGCTGTAACTCTTACATCATCCTGATAAAACTAAAATTGTCGGCTAAAAGACAGATATATTTATATTCAGTCTTTGAAGATAATACATTATAATTATTAAATACATTGTCTCCTATTTAGGTAAGATTGTTTTATTCTGTGTCCTTTAATCTCAATTCTTAGCCTTTATTTAATATCGCATCCTTGCCTTGGAGATTCCAACTGTAGGCCAGGATTTTAAGGTTTAACATCAAAATGCAGTAATGCAGTAAGCCAATCTCTGTGCCTCATCACCTTGTTGACTCATTCTGTTCTTGTGGTATGGCTGCCAAGACCTGGAGATTGGTTTCCAGACTGTCCACAATTAAAAGCATCCAAGTTTTCACGTAATTCTACCTCTGAAAAGGGAATCTACAAAGCAGAGCTTTCCCTATTACCTCTACATAGTTTCAGCATCTCTGCAAAGATGATTTACATAAAATCAATCAGAGTAAGTTGGGTAAATTCACTACTAAACAATGGAAAAGATCGTTTACCCAAAGAAACTGATTATAGTGAAACTCACCTGTCCACTTTTCCCTAATTCCAGCTCCACTATGGCTACAGGGGTGTGGATTTGAGCAGAGTGCCTTGATTGTGACTTGCCATCAACTCTCCAGCTTAAGCCTCGAAGCCCGTTGTCCCAGCGGCTCTGGTTCATGAGACTCTCTCGGATTTTTGTCTTGTGGTTCTTCCAGAATTTGGAAATGACAGCAGCCTGATCAGATGTGATCCCACCTTGTTTTTTGGTCTGGGCAGTCAAGAATGCCTCCAGCTGATTGAAATCCATGTCTGCAGATGCAATTGACTACAGAAAGGACAGAAAAAAGTAACACATTTGAATTTGACAGCTATCTAGAAACACTTAAAGCTATTATTTGAGGGAGTAAGCATTCAAAGAGGATCATGAATTTTTAAGTAGAAAAGCATTCCCATTGCAAATAACAAATATCAAAAAAATTTGTTAAAGTTTTATATAACCAACATTCTGCATCGATACGTAGGATCCAACATTTATATATCTAGTTCCATGGATGAAGAAATAATAAAATGGGGGGAGTAAAAATAATTAGTTCTCTGAGGAAATCTTATATAATTAAATCCTTTCTTATAGCCAGTAACTATATAAAGGGGACTTCAAAAGGTTTGGGGGGAAATGAAAGTATAAGAGATTAGAAATTGGAGTGGAAGGAAAAGATACTAGAATTTGTTCACAAACTTTTGAAGTCCTCTTTATATATAGAAAAATTAATGCTTTGTCTATAAGAAGGATTAAGTAAATTGTGTTAAATTGTTTTAACTTTGCTGCCTATCGGCGGCCAAATAGTTCATTTAAAATAATACTCGGAGACTGTATGCTACATTATGCTTTCCCATATATTTTCAAAATGTAATTGCGAGTGAAATTGGGTTATCCGCTCAAGCATCCAAGAAAACACAATAATTATAAACAATAAAATACTTAAATATACACAGTATTTTCACGGCTATAAGCCTGAGTCAAAAAGTACTGTTTTTAGGCTTCCAGTTCATACATGCACAGGTTTATTCCACACAAAACATGTTTAAACATGACTCTGTAGTGAGCAAATGGCTGCAAACAAGTTCTCTCACTAATACCCTGGTCTTAGCTTTGCTATGGTACTTTTTCAAAAAAGGACTTTTTGTGCCATGGAAATAAACTATGTCGAGGTCAGGGTTAATAACAAATTTTCAACAAAACTCTCTTCCATATCATTGAAGGTTTGCAGTAAGTTTCAAGAATGGTGTCCCACATCAAACAGCACCATTTAGGAAGCTCAAAAGAAAACCAGGAAGACCTCAAAGGTGAGCCGAGACCACCAGCCTGGATGCATCAAGCCCCTGGGAGTGAGAATCAGAAGCCTGTCGACGTAGAATTACCATTCATGTGACAGTTGAGATCGCATACAGTTTGGCATTTTCAGATTAAAACGTTTCTCTGAGGTAAACGAAAGGGTTTCAAAAAGTTAATCGAAAAATTCCATTATCTTTTAAATTTTATTTTCCACAAACTTTTTGAAGCCCTCTATCCAAGAGGGCTGGATACAACAGAAGGGGAACTGATAGGTTCAAGGGTATCTGAATTCCAATTTCCCAATATGGCTAGACCAATTTACACTCCCACCAGCAGGGTGTAAGAGTTCTTGTTGACGCACATCTTCACAATTTAATACTGGCAGTTAATTTTCGCCTATCTAGTGGGTGCAAAACGCTGTTCATGTGTATCATAACAACAAGGGCTGAACATGCTTTCATAAACCAAGTCACTCTGATGTCTGTGAAATGTATGCTCCAAAAGCTGTTGCTCATTTTCTAATGTGCTTTGTTTTTACTGACTTGTACAAGTTCACTTTACAGTCTTGAAAATCTTGTGTTGGTTGTAGTGGCACAAAGAGTGCTCAGCTACTAGCTGAAATATTAGCAGTCCAAACCCACTTGCAAGTGCTTTGAAAGGAGAACCAGACCTACTGATGTGTTTCCCACAAACGTCGTAGCCTTGAAAACTCAATGGGGAAGTTCCCTGAGCTGGAATCAGCCAAGGAGTAACTAACAGCAACAGCTATACTCCAGAGAGTTTCTCCTAGGGTGTGATGGAGCCTGTCCACTAATTTTCCTTAAAATGTCTTTTAATTAACAGAAATTTTTATTTTATTTTATTATTTTTTTAATTATTTAAGCATTTTATTAGGGGCTCATACAACTCTTAGAAATTTTTATTTTAATAAAGTAAAACTTTCAGGGTTTTTTACTGCCTCAAGGTCATAAAATATTCTATTATTTCCTTTTAAAATTTAAATTTTCTTTTTCATACTTAAGTTTTCTGCTTAATTTATTCATAAGCACTTTTATTTTTATTGCTATTGTAAATCCCATCTTTTTCAGTACCTTTCAACAGAAAATTATTAGAGAAAGTAATTATTGGTATGTTCCTCCAACGTTTTTGTTTTCCTCTTCAGCTTTCGTGAAATTAATAATTCTACTAATTAAGCTAGATATTAATTGTTTAATGTTCCATTTTAACTATGAATTAAAATTCTAAAAATGTTATTGAGAAGCTTTATAGCTATCTGGTCAATTTCTATTAAGTATTCCTTGGCTGCTGACGGGTGGGTATCCTCTAATCTTTTTTTTTTTTTTTTTTTTTTAATCAATTTATTGGGGCTCATACAATTCATCACAATACATAGATCAATTGTATAAAACACATCTATACATTTGTTGCCCTCATTATTCCCAAAATTCGCTAGCCTCTAATTTTCCTTTTTTCCCCCTCCCCTTCCCTTCCTCCTCCTCTCTCCCCCATGCACCCTTAATTCCTCTAATCTTAAAGAACAAAATTATCTAAATGTCCAAGAAGGAAGTTTAAATCTTCCACATTTTCACTTATTTGTCAAGTTAACCTATCAATACTTGAGAGAGATTTGGTAATTCCCCTTTATGATGAAGGATGTGTCCATTTCTCTCTGCTATTTTACCAACTTTTCTTTAATATATTTTGAAACTATTAGGTGTATAATAAGCTTTTTATTATCTTCTTTGTGGTCAACATTGATCTTTTGTTTTATAATAGTTTTTCAATTAAAGCTTATTTTTCTCATGTGAAAGTAGATACTACAGCTGTCTTAGGGTTTATATTTACTTAGTAAGTAAATCTTTTCCTGTCCTTTTACTTTAAAATCTTCCCCAATCAGTAAGTTTTAGGGGTATCTCTTCTAAATAGCATTAGACTGCAATTTGTGTTTTTAGCAAATCTGATCTGTTGGTTTGTTTTGTTGCTTTTTACCCCCCATTACAGGTAAAGTTAGCACAATTAAGGAACCCTGTTGGTACAGTAAAGAACGTGGTTGCTACCCGAAAGTTTGGCGGTTCAAACCCACTAGCTGTCTTGTGGGAGAATGATGAGGCCTTGGCTTCCATAGAGATTTCTGAAAGTCGGCATTGACTCAATGGCAATGAATTTTATTTAATTGGCTTTGGTTTCCATTGCCACTGAGGTGATTCTGACTCAGTTACCCAGTACAGGGTTCCTGAGGTTGTAAATCTCTACAGGAATAGACTCACCTTTCTTCTGTGGAGAAGCTGGGTTTGAACTGCTGAACTTGTAGTTAGCAGTTCCATGCTTACCCAACAGCACTACCAGGGCACCTTGTTTTTTATTAGTACGTATATTTATATTTATTATCTTCATTCTTGTTTGAATTTCAACAATTATAATTATTATTTTGAAATGTTCTTCTTGGTTCTTTTTTATATAGCTCCCTAATCCTTTTAGAGTATCTTATGACTTTCTCATTTTTGTGATTTCCTTAGTTTCTCCCATAATTTAAAGTTACTTATGTGCTTGATAATCCTATTATTTGAAGTCCCTAGTGTGTCATTCTGTTATATGTTTGTGCTAATTTTCATTCATTATCATGAATTACTTTATGTGTTTATGATCTTTCATTTTAAGTTCATGTTGGTAAATTTATTATGGTTTGTAAGAATCCTCAGGGCCTATGGAAGAATGCTTCAATCTCTAAAGAACTTGTATTTCCTTCTACTGGGAATAAAAGTTCCATTTAAGATTCTCAGATTACAGATTTCTCTAATTTAATCATTATCTTTTACTTATTCTATTATCCCAAGGCTTAAAAACAAACAAACAACCTTCCCTGCCATTGAGCAATGCTGATGCATAGTGACACCCCTGTGGGTGTCTGAGAGTAACTGTTTATGAGAGTAGCGAGCCCAGTGTCTCTTGTACCTGCTGGTAGTTTCAAAACGTGGCTATGCGGATCACAGCCCCATACATAACCTCTGCACCACCAAGGGTCCTGACTCGGTTTAGACTCTCAATAATAGAACTAATGCCAGCAGCTGTTTTCCTAGAATCCCTCTTTCTCCCCTGGTTAGATTCCCAATAGTATGTTTTCAATTGGTAGAGGTGGATAAAGTATGTCTGGATACACTTCCAACAGTCTAGTAATACAGTAAAAAGAATTTCTCTCTAGGATCTAGTAAGTCTACTTTTTTTGGAGGTGCAGGAGCTCCAGTGTTCTCAGTAACCAGCCAGAAGCCCAGCCCTGTGCCATCATAATTATTATTAGACCTGGGCCCATTCTTGCCACCACTATGTCAATCTATCTGGTTGAAGGTCTTCCTCTTTTTGGCTGACTCTCTACCAAGCATGATTTTTCTTCCCAGGTATTAGTCCCTCCTGGTGACATGCCCATGCCCAAAGTACTTGTGACGAAGTTTCACCACCCTTGATTCTAAAGTGCATTCTGGCTGTACTTCTTCCAACACCAAAACAAACTGGACAACCCACTGCCATTGAGCAGTTTCTGACTCAGCAACAAGTTTTCTGAGGCTGCACATCATTACCAGGACAATCCCATCTTCCCCCTCAGAGAGGGTGGGTTTGAACTGCCAACCTTCTGGTTGGCGATCCAACATTTGCTAATGTCATCATGGCTTCTTTTTGCAGATACTCCCAATGTAATATAGAGTTTGATTTGACAGCTGCTTCCATGGGGACTGATTGTGGATCCAATTAAAATGAAATCATTAACAACTTCAATCTATTCTCCATTTAGCATAATGCTTATTGATCCAGGGTTGAGGATTTCTTTCTTTACATTGAGTTGCAATTCATATTGAAAGTCAGGCTTTAGTTTTCATCAGTAAGTGCACTTCAAGTCCTGTTGGCTTCCAGCAAGCAAGGCTGCGTCATCTGCACATCAAAGTCTGCTAACAAGCCTTCCTCTAATCCGGATGTCACAATCTTCCTCATAAAGTCTAGCT